AAAATTTGGATATCTGTTCTATTGCTGTTAACACTTTTAGAACATCATCAAAGATAAAGCGCAAATTACCATGTTAGTCCCTAAACTGTTGACCATATTATAATTAGGTCCCAGAAGTCTTTTTCTTGTTACAATTTGGTCCCTAAATTTATAACATTGTTTCAATTCAAAACATGCTACTGGAAAATTTTCGAAAGAAACGACAGAAGTTCTTTGTATTTTTGCTTATAATTTGTTTTTTTCCAGAGCATGAAAGTTATATTAACTAAAAATTGACCCTTTGTAACATAAGAATAGTGAACTTATTGTATTTAAGACATGCAAATGATAATAACAACATTAGGAAAGAAGAATAAGCCTGCAATAACTTTGTTTGAAATTTTTCTTCAATTCCTCATCCTAATTATTCTTTTTTAAGTCTTATTTCTATGACACTCAAGTAAAACAGAGAATTTTACTATTTCTGTAAAAAAAAAGTACATTAAAAATTTATGTTTTCAAACAATTTTGTAAATTTAGGTACCGAACTGTAAAGGAAAAGAGATTCTGAATTGAATTGCAAATTCATAATTTACAGATTAAATTGATAATTTATCCTGCCTCAAGTTAAAAATTATATAATATCTTATTGTTAAACACTATATAACATAAATACCTATTATGTAAAGCTATAAATACTTTAGTACATCATATGTACTTTTGGGAGTTAGGAGGGTAAAGTTTTAAAGTAGAACAAAGTTAAATAGGAATTCTTACCAGATTTTAATGGAAGTAATTATAATAAAGAAGGCAGAGAGATGCTTCTATCCCCACCTTAGTTGGTAGAGTGAGTAAATTTAGTACGAGTTTACTAATCAAACAAAAAATATCTCCAAAAATTAAAAGAGATGTTTAAAATTTATAAAAAAAAGAGGAATTAGGAAACTTTAACAGAAAGATATTATTGGATTAATTATATGCCCCTCGCAAACCCCCAGATTTAAGGACTAAATAACTGCATTAACAAGAGGTTATAAGGAACTCCAACATTTATCAAGTTTTAATCTACTTAAGAACTAGGAATGATATCTGAGAATCCCAAAAAATACTTTTGCACTTCTATTAAATCACACCTTCCCTGTTAACTAGAGCATTTGTAATTTCAATTATTACAATGTATCAAATTAATCCCTTCAATATGTGAGACTCTTGGTAAGATGAACTTAGTAAAGAAAGTTGAAAAAGGGTGTTGCTCCCTCGAGTATGTGAAGGAGATCAAGTAACAAGATGTGTCTGATAGAGTTTAAATGTATTTTTAATTTTGATCTTTCCCAGAAATATATAACTTTTAGACTTAAATGCCCTTGGACATGTATTAGTTTATTAATTGTTAAGAATGTCATGTGTTATAGGATATTGATGGAATTTTTAGACAAATGGGTTAATTTGGTACATGTAATATCGTAGGGTGGACAGTGCTACAAGGAAAAATGCAGGGTGCAATTTAATACAAATGCAGAAGCATTCTCGGTCATGGAGCAACTACACAGTAAATGATCGAAGCATGGGAGCTTGTTATGCTAAATAAGGAAACATCCAAAAGAAATAATGATTGAGATTTTGAAACTTCAATTACACTATTCATTATGGAATCATATCATAATATCTTCAATATGGCTGCAGATAAAGTGCAAGATAGAGAAGTAAGAGGATGTAATAATCCATTTCTAATTTCTATTTAAGCAACCTAACCCGAATATTTCACTTTTATCTAAGATTCCCTAAAAGCTGGAGGGTTAGGTTCAGTGAAGCAATGGTTTATTTAAAAAAAAAAGATTCATTGCAATAATGGTGCGCAATAAAGTAAGAGAATGTGACAATCCATTTCTAATTTCTACCTGAGCAACATAATCCAAATATCTCACTTTTACCTAAGCTTCTCGAAAGCCAGAGGGTTAGGTCCATTGCAGTAATGGAACTTTGAGAAAGCACTTAATTAGATACCACAGCTATTTTACTTCTAAAGGAGAGCACCTACACTATCAACTGAATGGGGGAAATGAAAATTTTCACTCTGTGATAGGAAAAATAGAAGCATATTATGAATGAAAGAGGTGTTCGTAAACCTTGAAACTCCAGATCCTATTCCAACATCTCAAGGGAAATTTATCTGTCCTATTTATCAGTCAGTACTCTGAAATTCAGAAATGAAAAGGAAGCTTCTTAACTACACAATTAAAAGTTAATAATAAGAATATCAAGGCAGAAAAGACTATATACCTCAGTGCAAAGGCAGAATTCAGGGCATCGGCTTTCCCCACACCTGCCACTACAGGGCATATAACCAGCACAGCATGTATACCTGTACCGAAACAGAAAGTTAATATGTTTTACCCCAGAAGCCAAATCAAAAATTCGTATCAGACAAAACAGGGATCAGACAGTTACCTTGACATGTCATCATAAAGTGCTCGTTTACGGAGTAAGTATGATACACAGGGCCCACTGCAACAATAAAAAAGGTGAATCAGATAATTGACATTTAGTAAGACTTCTGCCTTCAAACAGCAAAAGCAAAAATCTGACTAAAGAAGTACTATGTCTTCTGAGCTACAAGTTTTTGATGACAACCAAATTATGGGAATTCGGGGAAGGCAATCCGGTATATCTAATAATTAATTAGGAGGAAAAATTCTAGCAATCTGCAACATGTTAACAAAAGAAACTGATAATTACTAAAGCAGTGAACTATAGAAAAGCATTGCTCTTTTCGCTCTTTAAATGATACTATATTGAAGCTGTAACAAGTTATATGACAGTTTATGCTTCTTCTGAGACCAACTTTTGAACTTATTGAAGAAAAGAAGTTCTTGGAGAAGAAGGAAAAACAGAACCCAGTTCAAGGAAATTAACGACCATATATTTATTTTCAATAGAAAAAGATAATAATGATGATTTCCTAATCAACATCATGATATTTTTTCAGCTCGACTCCTAAACATAGGGATATCCTTGTCAAGCTGATAGCTTTTGTTGAACATTTAATTTGGCAAATATAAAACCAATTTTTATTTCAAAATAATAATAATAGTAAAACCAATTTACTTATTTAAAAATGAAAATCTTAATTGAGGTTTCCCTGAATGCCAGGTTATGGATGTCTATCACTGGAAAACATTAGGCATGTTCCTCATAGATCTGTCTGCTTAACTCATTTGTGAAGCTAAAAACTATCTTGCTTGAAATTACCATAAAAGGTTTTCTGAGAGCGAAACCTCTTTAACTGCACTTGACTCATAAATGCTCAATGCCATTTCCTACGATTGCCAAAACTTAACCTTCTGGTTCAGCTGATGTACCAAATTTCAGGATAACTTTCTCTAGTTAGAGACGTGCCAGTTCAGTTTGTCAAGGAAAAACCCACGATTTTAGCATAAAATCAGAATATTTTGTACCCTTAGATAAAAAAATAAAGAACCCCTTTTAAAAAAATCATATAAAATTAAAAAATTTCAAGAGAGTGATGGGCTTTCTTGATGGATGGAGAAAGAAAACAACTGTTTAGAATTTCTCTCACAAGCCAAGGTTCAAATTGAAGTTTAACATTGTAAGCTCCTAATTTTAGTTTTCAAATTTTTGACAGTAAGATCAAATCTAATCATATACTTCTTTCACTTAAATGTCTGTTGAGATTATCTCATTACTATCCCAATCCGGTAGAAATTTTCATTTTCAGAAAATGTTGACTGGAAGTACGAGGCATGAACACTCAATTCTGTCATTTCATTCACAATCAAAATGAATTAAAGGAAAAACAAAAGGTACCAACAAATCACCAGTTTCAGAGCAGAACCATGACAACACGCCAAGTCAACCCTCACAAGACCAAGTCAAAAAAGACTTTAACGTTATTATCATAGAAAAAGAAGCCGACCTTAAAATTATTAATCAAGTGAATTCATGTTTCATGAAAAGCGACTGGAGAATCAGATCTAAACTCCAAAAACAGTAACATCAATGAACAGATCAAGCAGCACTTACCAGAAACAAGCCAAGCAGCAGTCTGCACAAACAACGGAAGCCACTCGATCAGTTCTCAAGACAAACAAATAAACAAACAAACACAATTATACACACATATTCATATAGATAGGAAAGGAGAGAAGAGACTATACAAGGAGCATCGGTCTGAAAGGTCCTTATGAGATCGGTGTGCCAGACATTCCGGTAGTTCTGGCGAACCTGCATCTTCTCCAGATACACCTGCGACGCCATTTCCGTGCGATCTCAGAAATTAGAGAGACAAACAGTGAGATATTTTTGCTGTTAGAAGGAATTGAGGGTAAATGATGAGCCCTCTGCAGTAATTTGAAATAAAAAGGCAGCTATCCGGACTGGAAGAGCACCCCTAGCCCGAGAAAGAAGATTCCGCGTGTAATTTAATTTAATTAGGAAAGTTTGGATTTTTTTGAAATTGCTTCGCCGCGTTCTTATTTTTCCGTTCATCGTATTTTACAATTAATTAATTCCCGAAAATGCAGGCGGAACTCCAAAGTTTGGGGAGCATTTTAAAATTCCAAAAATTTTTGGGAGGAAAATTGAAATAATGAATTCTTTATGGTGGTTTTCGAATTATGGGGGAATATAAGGACGAAGTTGAAAAGTAGTGGGTGTATTAATATGGGTTTGTAGCGGAGTGAAGTGGTGTTTGTTTGAAGTAAGAGAGGTGACATTTGGTTTGTCGCGTCGCTTACTCATAGCCTCGAATTTGAAAAAAAGAAGGGAAGAAAAGCAAAGTGTGAGTTGTGAGTTGAGTCCCTGGGTGATTCATCTGAAGACAAATTAGGAAACAAAAGAAATAAGAATCAATTTGTCATTTTCATTTCTTTCTTTCTTTCTTGTTTTTAGAGTTGAAAGAAAATTCGTTTCAATGTCTTATGAATTAGATGAGTTCTGCTCTTTCTACTATCATTCAAGCCCAGAAATGGTGTCCTCTGCCAAAACCAACACATCAGATTTTCAATTCTTCTCTGATCCTTTCTCTCCTTTCTGTGATTCAGCCATTGAAATCTTTCAATCAATCACAACCAACCAAAACCCAGTTGAAGAATCCTATTCTTTTAATCAATTTGCTCCTCCCTCTGTCCTCTCTTCTTCTCCACCCAGTCACCAACTGGAAAATCTGAGTATATATGACACAACCCAAATGCAATCTGGTTTAGAGGTGAAGACGGAAGTGGGTTTTGATTGTTATCAGAATCAAACATTTATGGCTCACTCTTACAGTGGCTGTGAGAATGTGGGCAAGTACATGCAGAGGAGCTTGAGCAGCAATTGTTTTGATGCCAAGCCTGGGTTTCTCTTCCAACCTCAGTTTCAATTTGACCCACTCATGGAATCCCAAGATCACAACTCGGAAAACATTAATGGTCAAATGAGGAGGGTTTGCAGCACAGGAGATTTGCAAGTAAGTTGTGTGTTAATTAAATTTTAATCCCCTGTTTTCAACTCTCTTAATCTTCCACTAATATATGTTTAATTTCTTCTAAATCCAGACTAGTGTGAGAAAAAACCGTAGCACACAGAGGTCTTTTTCAAGCCCTTTAGCTACAGAGAGTTCGTTGGTGGAGGATGCGAGCTTTAAAGTCGGGCGTTACAGTGCAGAAGAAAGAAAAGAAAGGATCTCCAAGTATAGAGCCAAGCGAACTCAAAGAAACTTCAACAAAACCATTAAGGTAAATACGTAGATACATATACATATATATAATAATTATATATTCGATTATAATCTAAACAAATGTGGGTGGATTGGATGTAAGTATGCGTGCCGCAAAACACTAGCAGACAACCGGCCAAGGATACGTGGCAGATTTGCACGGAATGATGAAGTCGGTGATATTCCCAAAGTTGCATGCTCAAACAGAGATGAAGTTGAATATGAGCTATGGGTGGGTAACACAATCTAATATTTTAATCATAATCTAACCGCGAGCTTATAATATAATTTGTTCTTTTGGGGTATTTTAGGTTGATGAGTTGCACGAAGAAGAAGAAGAAGAAGAAGAAGAAGAAGAAGATGGGAGAAGGAGAGGAGGATTTGTCAAAAAATTTGGTCAGGCTGGTTTTCGCTACTATTAACCAATGATAATTGCAAGTGTTTTCAATCAGAACCAATTGTAGACCGAGGGTGACTTTAATAAATATATAAATTATTATAAATTTTTGTATTTAATCGATATGGGTTAAAGAATAATAATAACATATCGATAAAAATATGACAATGTATAATGATTTAAATATTTTATTAAATTACTCTATCAAATACATTTTACCATATGGTTGAAGGTCAGAAGAAATTGAATAAGTGATTTAGAGATGTTGTTAGTTGGTAGTTGTAGTGGGTTAATTTTCTTCCTTTTGGTTTAGTTTAAAAGTATAATTTTTGTACATAATGAGTTTGCAATGAACCAAAGAGCTTTGACTTCCGAATCAGATTCAGTGGGGGAATTTTCATAATATTTTAAAATGTCAATCATGAATGCTGAGAAAGAAAAAAAAAAAAAAAAAAAAAAAAAGTTGGTCTCTTTGGAGGCTTTGCACAAAGTGGCATTTTAATGTTAATAATATTTCACACAGTGTAACAAAAAACAACCAATACTCCCAAGATAATTTAATTATTTAACATGTTATAATCAATTGTATAATATATAATTAACTTAATTTTGTTCTATGTTTTAATTTAGCAATAATAATAACAGGGTAGCTTGATTAGAATATTAAATTTCTTATCTTTTGTCTCAACGGCTTAGTTATCTTGTAAATGAATGGTGACTTGTGGGCAAGGTTTATAATTTTATTATTTTTAGGAAGGATTCTCAAAATTTTCCTCTTCAATCCCTTAGTTTTAGATTCTCAATTCAAATAGTCTATTTTTAGTTGGACTGAGAAGAGATTTAGTCTTTTGATTAAAAATAATAATAATAATAATTTAACAATTAGACAACCATTTAGTCACGATATTACTAATTAGGATTAGAAATCTAAATTAACTATAACAACAACAGCAATTCAAGATTTATAATATCATTGATCTCACTCTGATAGCATGTTATAATACGTTTACTATATTTGATATATTATTTTCTTAGAATTAAAAAAAAAATAAAATAAAATATGAGTTTGTACAAAAATTATATTTAAGTAAAATGATAACACATGATGTTTCTTGTAAAACATTTAGATTAATATCTTAGAGAATGAGCATGCTTAACAATTAGTGTTAGTATTAAATTAAATAACAAAAGAAGTAATACAAAACAAAATTGAAGTTTGCAACATATATGTAATTTCCACGAAGTTGAATAAAATTGACTGCCATTATTCAGTGAATTATGTTTTTCTTCTGTTTGCAATGATAAGAGTAGAGAAGATATTTTCTGAAGCAACGAATAACAAAGCTTGTTCCATGCATCTTAATATAGTCGCCCTTTTTATTTTCTTTTAATTCAATTTTTATAAGAATTATTATTATTATTATTAACTTATTATATCCCTAACTAATCAAACCTTATTTATTTACATCTCAACAGGATTGTTGCTTTGGAAAAATAAAAATATATATTTCCCTTTAAAAGAGAATAAATTCATTGCTTTATACATAACCATGTTTAATATAATATGATATATATATATATATATATATGTTAAAAATGACTCAATTCTTTTAAAAAAGTATATAAATTCGAGTTAGATTTGTGTATTAATCACTTATATTTTTTTTATTAAAATTTTTTATATTATTGATTGTATTATTATTATTATAGTATTTAATCATTAAAATGTATGAATTAATAAGGTTGACCATCAAATTGACTATCCAGGTAAAAAGAAACAGAACTAAGAAACCAAAAAAAGTAAAAGGCGCATGAAGTAATTGAACTGGGTTCTGCTAACTTCAGATCATTTGCTACTTTTAATCCTCAATTCAGAATCTTGAAAATAATAATCAACTTTTTTTTTTTTTTTTTTTAACAGTACTAATTTTATGTGGTTTAAAATTAAAATTTAATCAAATATACAAATGTTATCAACATCTTTGTCACTTGTTCTTATAAAATTCTCCTTTTTATCAATCTATGTATGTTCCGGTATTTTTACAAGTTGGGAAAATCCAATTAATCTTACCAGTTTCTTTCTAAATCATAAAAGCTTCAACTATGCAATTTGCAATCTGTACTTGGCTACTTGTTCTGATTTTCACAGTTCCTGCAAATTACCTGGTAAACACCAAAACCCAACTTTCAACTATTTTATATATAAATATATATATGTATATAGATGCCAATTGCCAACAACATATACACCTACCTATCTATCTTTTTTTCCACTGAAAGAAACTAGGTAGCGAGCGCATCTCAGTTTACATATATGCATATATATATATATATGATTATGCATAGGCTGTAGCTGAACTGGTCCTCAGAAAAGCTATCTTTTTTCTTTGTTCTGCTGTCAACTATACTTTCTCAAACACTTCTTTTACTCTTTTTTTTTTTTTTTTTTTTTTTTTTTTTCTTAAAAAAACATTAATCTGAGACCTTGTTTATTCTCCCACTTAAAGAATTCAACAACTCGTCTCCAATTTTTACTCTGTAAAATACATTTTGTACCCTCATGTATATCTAGATACATATATAAGGCTTTTTATTGATGTGGCAAAGCAATCGATTAGGTGGAAAGAAAATATATCATTTGGCAGCCAGCAGACAGTGAATGGAGTGTCAAAATTCTTGTGATGATAGTGCTATGCACCGAAAATGTTGGGAATTTGGCCTTTTTGAAAAAAAAAAAAAAAAAAAATTATTTTGTCTCTAAAAATTTGACAAAGTGGTAATTGCATTACTATTATGTATATATACATATTATATTATATAGGGGATCAAAGGACATTAAAATTATACTTTATTTTTCTTAACGATATATAATATAAAAAGAAAACTTCCGAAGGTAAAAGATATATATTTTATTGAGGTTTTTAACTC